GGTCCATTGATGAGGATTCGGAGAGCTTGAAGAAGGTGGCTGCTGGTTGCAGAAGACAGTGAAGCGAAGCCAACGGTTGAAGAAGAAGAAGAAGAAGATTTTTTTAGGGTTTAATGGGGTTTGGCGGGAAGCGGTGCAAATGGCTGTTGGTTGGAAGCTTGAGGCAATGGCAATGCGGTAATTTGGGGGAAAATATTGTTATTTTATTTATATGGAAAGCCTTTTTTTTTTCTTCCGCGAAATCTGGTTTAGTTTTCCAAAATTGTTTAATTGAGGCTAATTTTCCTTATTAAATATTATTCTAGTCGGCCACGTTTGAAAGTTTTGAAAATATTACTTAAAAAATGGAATATTTAATTCGAAAGTGATATTGCTGGATTTGGGAGTGCATTTATATGGTAAAAGAGAAGAATCTTATGGTATATTCCATTAAAAAATCAAAAGTAATATTAATTAATTTAATCTCGTGGTAACTTGTTCAATTGAAATCTCTACCTCGACATGTTATACTAGAAATTAATTTAACCATGCTTTATGGGATGTTATTTTTAAATGGTTACGAATTTAAAATTTAAAATTATTTTAGTTTCTGAATTTAAGTATGTAACGATATAATCTTGCAGTGGAAAGTTGTAATAATATAGACGATATTGTGAAAATTATTGTTAAGTACTTGTAACAAGAGTTTTTTGTGTATGTAGTTTAAATTAGGAGAATTAAATCGTTATAAACTAAATATCAACATTCCAACTTAAACTAAATGAACTAAGTTGTTGTCTATTAAGATTTAGAGACTAAATCCTTATTTAAATGATATTACATGGATGAAAGGTGTTTTTCTATAACATTTTTATGATTTTTTTAATAATGAAACTTTTAAACTTTACTCATCGTTGGGAGGCAAACTGCTGGAATAGGATCAAGTAGGCCGACCTAACAGGTCGGTGTCCGATACTTTGGTAAAACAAAGATGCCCGAAGACTTCCACTTCAAGGTAAATAAAAGTCCAGTGAAATGCATGGACCGAAGGTCCTTGAGGTGAACCTGGCGCAAGCAAGGGAATACTTCAATGAGACAGGTAGCTACTCCATTGACCACTATAAATACACCTCTTATCCGCCACTCCAGGTATGAAAAATCTGTCTGAAGCCGATCTATCTAAGCTCAGATTCCACACCAACTTGGGCGTCGGAGTGACTTACCTAATTTTGCTGGTACTATTAGCGAAACTCACTTCGAACAGCTCACACCGACCTCACATGTCATACCATGGGACTTAAGCAGATTTTGGCATCAACACCTATGATAATAAAATAATGTAGGTCAATTTTTATCTCAAGCCTTCTATGGTATTAAATTTCATCTTAAACTTAGATAAATATTCCATTTTTACCTTTATTTAACTTTTGTCGAAGGTTTATTGAGACGTATTCCATTTTTACCTTTATTTAACTTTTGTCGAAGGTTTATTGAGACGTATTCTCAAACATATTGAAAATGTTTAAAAAACAAATGATTACAACTAGATTGATGGGACTTTAGAGATAAATTACAAAGATAGTGTTGATTTGTTTGGTTGACATTCATGAATTCTATTAAATAGTTGATCTTGTGGATTAATTTACTAGATTTCAATATTGTGTAGTAATTTTATTATAGCTTGTACGGTCCACGATTCAAGTCCGCACGACCCATGCAACGGGCGGGCCCCTCCACCTTCAAGGGTCGCGCCTGCATAGCCTTGTGTTGTCATGCCTTCTTTGCGATAAGTGCACTGCTTGCACCACCAAGGCGCAAGCTCTAGTTCTTACCTAGCCATCGGGGTAACGGCACTTCAGCCCTGGTCAGCGTGATGGAGGGTTTGGTAACATTCTCGTTTTTTATTTTTAGCTAATAATTTTCTTAAGAAATCTGAACATTTTACAATTAATTTTCTTTCTGGTTTCTTCGAACATCCTCACATTTGTTCCAAAACAAAAAGATTATTTTATCATATTTGAATTCTTGGAAGTTGGAACTATGAAATACATTTTTTTTAATTAAAAATAAAAGAAACAAGAACGTTACCAAACGATCCTCAATTTCCTATCAACCTTTATATTTACTTAAGCTTCAAAGCATGTTATGCCGATATTACGCCAACATTAACTCACCCTTCCTTTGTACAAGTCATCTTTCATGCAGTTATTCATCTCTCCCCTATTTTTAACCCGTTTGATTTGGCTCAGACCATCCGATTCGACAAACCCTTTCCAGATCAAGTTGACTTACACAGCAACATAACTATAATTTAACGATTAATTAAGATGCCAATAACTTCTCTTAGAACTTAGGAGTTGAATGTTTAAACGTGCACTCATAATTGCAATGCTATTTCACTTTTTAAACCCAAAAAAAAAAAAAAAGGATCTTTGGTATGAGGTGGGCGCCAGAGGGGCGTGAGGAATGTAGTTTCTTTGCTACATGTGAAAGGCATTACTCATGCCAATAAACACACATTCGTGAATCATTGTGAATTAATTTTTGGAGAAAAAAAAGAATTGTTATATCTATAAATTATGCTTTGAGTCGTGTCTAATTCATGTGCCTCAAACATGACTAAACACATATATTTTATTGTCACATATTTAATTGATATCACACCATTATTCTCTCATCTCATAATTGATATCACACCATTATTCTCTCATCTCAAATAATTTTCTAATTTTAAGTAAAAGCATAACCCAAACAATTAAAAATTGAGATTTGAACTATGTTAAGGTTAACACTAATATCTTTATTAGTTAATCTATACTTAAGTTCATAAATTTTTGTACATATAATTTATTTGATAAAAAAAAGTTAATTCCCATAATCTATTTAGTCAACTTCAACATATAACTCATTGGTTAAGACATTTTTATCTCTTACGTATGGAAAATGTATGGAAAATAAATGGGTAATTGTCCCCGTCTTATGTTAGGATGAAAAATTTATATAGAAAAATCAATATTTAAAAATTTTCCATCTAATTTGTTTATATATATAAAAAAAATAAAGATTGGAAGTAAAATTTTTCCCACTCTTGTAAAATTTTATACCTCCAACCTTCCTTATGGCTGTAGGTTTAGATTTGTACTCTCGTATTTGTGATACAATATTCTTTAAAAAAATATATATTTTAATTATTCACTTCTAATTCAAATTAATTAATTATAAATTTAGTATAGAGTATTTAGCAATGACTTATTCTAGATATGATTATACGCGCATAATTTAAATGGTAAATGATATGTGTTATTCTATTAAAATTGGATGTTAGAAATATTTCAAATAATCAATAAATAAAACACAAGCCACAGTTAATTAACCACCTCAGATCCAATCATTTTATTCTTCATTTTTCTGGACGCAACAATTTTCTCTCTATCAAATCATCTTTAAATTTAAAACCAAATCTTCCAATTTAAACCACTTATTTCATGAGTAATCTCCCCACATGGCTCTGTGGCAGAGCAGTGACAGCTGTACTCACGGGATAAGTACATGCCAGAGATAATACTTGTACTTGATTTTATTTGTCATCTTTTTAAAAAAATAATTATCAATTTTTTTTTGTTTTTTTCATGATCTTGGATTCTACCGAATTCGCATCAGAATAGCACTAAAACTGGTGTGCATAAAGAGAGATTTGTCGTCCTTTAAGTTTGATTTACTTGTGGAATTCGAATCCTAATACATCTAGGAAATCTGTTCTTATGAATCATAAGACATCCAAATATATCTTCCTTTTTAGGTTTGATTTACTCGGGTTAGGCTTGCTTTCTGTTTTAAGCTTGCTGGGCCTGTACGCATACGCATGTCTTTTTCAACACCTCGAGATTTGACTTTTAGCTTATCGGCGTGCTTCTGTCCATGTTCGAATTCCTTGACCAGCTATTGATTTACTTACTCAGTCCCCACTTGAGGGATTTTCATTTAAAGTAAAAAAATAAATTAGATGTCAAAAGTCTTGTTCATAATATATAAAGAGATAATTGCTCAAGTAATAAGTAATTAATTAAATTTTAGACGCTAGGAACTTTTTTAAATCACAAACGAGTAAGTATCTTTCGGCAACATAATATCAACATGTAGTTACCAAAAAATGAGTCCTAAATTACGCGATCTACTAAATATGCGGTTACCCTTTTCTGGGATTTGTTGACTCGTTTATCCCAGAATCTATTTTGGAATCCGTCGATTTACTCATCCATGATATGTCCTAGGATTTGTTGATTCGTTCGTTCTGGGTCCTGTCTCAGAACTCATTGATTTGTTTGTTTCCCGGCTACCTCAGGTAGGGGAAGCCCCGAGTCGAATGACATTTATCTTTAGAAAGTTGTGGTCTGCCTTCAGAATACATGTCGATTCGTTTCTCCCGAGATTTCCTTGGATCTAAGTATTTCTCGGTCAATTCGTCGTCAATCGTCTTGACTTTTAGATCTTAGTCGTCCCCACATACCTGTGTGGTTCTTGCCTATGGTGTTGTGAGCATAGCAAACAGTAGAGATTTGTCTACTAAATCTGGTTATATGAATCTAGGGAGAATCTTGAGGAAATCAGGATATATTCTCCTATAGGATATCTTTGAATTTTACAAAATAGAGATTTTGTCATCCATGACAGTTTTATTCATAATGTATTAAAAATTGTGAAGAGGGCAAAATAAAAATAAATATAATAAAGTGAACATGAACTTAACATAATAGTATTTGACATATGTCTTTGACTAAGAATCTTCTTTGATGTATTCAAAAAATGAAAAATAATAATAAATGAATATAGTAAGCCAGTTTAAAATTTAAGCAAATATGAGACAACTATTAGTTGAGGAAAAAAGGAATCAAATTTTGACAAATTTTTAAAAAATATATAATTTTTTACCCAACAATATAATTTTTTTCAAAATTATTAACTAGATCATTCTTGTCTTCATATAAAATTGATATGTCGTTAAATTATTATTTAGACATTTAAATATAACACACGGCAAGTAAAACTCAACTCACCCATAAAAAAATGTATTTATTCTAAGCCACTACAAGATGCATATTTGTTTGAATATGTTGATAAAAAAATAATTTGATGACATTTCAATTTTTTTTAAACAAATGTGAATAATTTTATTTATTTATTGCAACGGGGTGGGACCTAATTGTGAACTTTAAAAGACCGGGATCAAATTGAAACTAACTAAAAGATTATAAGAATTTGCATTTGATTTGCTATGAATTTAATTTATATATCAAATTCTTATCCTAACCAGCATAGTTCAGTTGGTCTCTATAACATCACATGAAGACTAGAGATTTGAATTTTGATAATTGGAGAAGACGACCCTCCATGTAGCAAGAGGAGATACACGTTAAGAGGGAGGGATCAGAATCATTACCTTGGACCTTGGTCAAGGTCATGCCAGAGATACGTATAATTTCCAAGTGGATCCCACCTATCGCTAATACAAATAGAGGACAAATTTTATATTCAGAGATACGTATGTGATTGATAACTCATCTCGAGATAATTTCATAAATTACCAACTTGAATACCGGAGCATGTTTTTCACCTTTGTAACAAATCTTGAAATCTTTTAACTTTCACATATCACAACAAATTTAATACTAAAGTGATTAATACGAAAGTTGTTGATTTTTAATAAGTGAAATAAAGTGAAATTTGAAGAAATTTACTCACATATACGCCATGAATATTATTTTCAATTATTTATTTCATTAGTCGCTTTTTGTTTCATTTTGTGTTAAAGACACACATCTGTAATTTTATAAGTGTTAAAGTTATATAGGTGTTGAAACACAAATTATGTTTAAGTTGAAGTTATATTTTAAATGAAGAATTTTTTCTTAAAAGTTGAAGTTAACACACGGAGTTCTACCATATATAGTTGTTGTTTTCTTCATTTGAGATATCTACGTCTCAACATTTGAGTTTCTCTTTGTCAAAAAAAAAAATTTTGAGTTTCTCCTCTCACAAGATTTTTTCTCTCCCTATTTTGTTGTTTTTGTTTATGTTGAGAGCAAATATGTAGGAATTCTGTCAGATTAGACTAGTTCGAGATCGTTGTTTTACCTAGAGTTAATCGTTATATCTTACTAAGACGACGGCTAGCAACTTGTGCAGAGAATAATTATCTTTCGATTAGAACTATTGAAGCGTGTCTCGACTGTATTTCATTAAGTTTCGATTCATCAAGTTGTCAAGATTTATTATTGTATGTAGCTACGTTATAATTCATTTGCCAGTGTTACATAATTTCCATATACAACATATATTTATTCAACAAATATATACATATATTTGTTCTGTCAAGCTTTCGCCCATTACGAAAAATTTTCCACGCGAGTCTCATTTGAATTTTTATTATTTTAAAATAAAAAATATTAGGAATGGGAGTAGAAAAGGACAAATTGTATTGGAATCCACCCATTTTTGGGTTTCCTCATAATGCATACAAGCCAAAAACATGAGCATCCTTTTATAAGATCTTAAATAGGGCCATTGTAGGATCATCTGTGAATCACATGCTTACACAGATCACACAAAACAATCCAAATAAAATTTTAAATTACAACATTCCGTCTACTTTATTCTCATGTTTAGATGTGGAATTATGTTTAATTTCACACATATTCTAATTATAACCTAATATTTTTAATTCCAAGGGTTTGAATGATATGGGATGTAGCTTACTTAAAGACGGATTTTCAAGTTGGAAGCCACTTTCGATGACGAGGTCATTAAATTGATATTACACTATCGTGACTGTCCATTTTTATCAACCAACTCCCCTCTTTCCATCTTTCTTTTCCGGGGGGTGTAACGCCCCCTGCATCCCCTGTGATCCGACCGCGTCATCGTCTAGTTCTCACTCAGCTGAAGATTGCTCTAAACTTTGAAGTTCTTACGATTGAGTTACTGAAAAGGAAGGTGCACCTTGTTAGTATAGGTAGTAACTATTATCTCTTTTAAGCTTTCTTAACCATACTTTCTATGGTCTCAGGATCTCTCTCATTTGGCATTACAGGGTGGCCCTACTTTTTCAAGGTAAGGAGTAGAGAAAATACCTCGAGCCAATGTTTAAGTACCAAGCGCTACGGTGCTAAAGTAACCCATACCATACTCCCAAGAAAAGTTCTGAAACAACCTATTGATTGAAGCTCTACGCAGTGGAATCGTCTGGATCCTAGGGATCGTTCTAGTTTAATCCTTTGAGTTCAAGGAGGGAGGAAGGCCTTCGAACCCAATATTCCTATCAATACTTCGATTTTCAAGGCCGACTCTTTCAATCTCTCAGACATTCCATCCCCTTCGTGCTTCACCCACCCTATCTATCATGCACTGACAAGTAAGGGCTTATCTATGTGATACGCTACACTTGCTTGCACCTATCGACGGACTGACTCTATTGCCTGCCGGTTACCGAAACTTGGTCCACTAATTACAGAGTGGGGATCGAGCTATAATCTTTAATTAGCTAACTCCAAGCAAGAAAAAAAAGATTGATTTTGAAATTGGTAAACAATAATTTAAGGATAGTTTTTAAATTTAACTAAATCACAAAAACTAAATTGGTAATTTGACTTTTATATCATATTTTTCTTTTAGCATCCATTAAAAGAGATTAAAGTTAAACTTAAAAAGCAGCATTTGAGGATGCGAATCATCCATGATCCTGCATATCTTTCCAAGTGTCCAATGTGTTCTAAAAATGCCTAAACATATATCTAATGTGTTTGTATGTCCAACGTGCATGTGCTATTATTACTATCAAACACAACAACCACACATTATTAAACTATAAATTTGGTCTCTAAACTTTAAGAAATTGTGTCTAATAGGTAACTTAAAAGTTGTCTAATATAGTCTCTTAGATGTTGAGGTGTCCAATAAGTTTCTAAATTTTAAAAAGTTTTTTATTGGTCCATAAGAACTCGTTTGGTAATGTTTCTTGTTATTGTTCATGTTTCTTCATTTTTAATAAAAAAAAATGAATTGCATAGTCCAAACATCTATAAATTCAAACAATCTTTATATTAATTCTTTGGAACAAATTAGAAATGAGAAGAAAGAAAAACTCGTTTTAATTGTTTCCAAAATTTCTATACAATTTTGAGAATATTCCCAATGAGAAACAAGAAACATAGTTAGTTGCAAAATATTTAGATTTTTTAAGAAAATTGAAAACGAGAAAAGGGAACATTACCAAACAGGACCTAAATTTTCAATCATGCTATCTTATAAGTCTCTAAAATTTATAAAGTATCTGATTCGTCTCTAAAATTTCAATATTATCTCTAATATAGGTTCCTAAATTTCAGAAAATGTCTAATAGACTATTTTTAAAGGTTAACTCGTTAGACACAACATTAAATGTTAAGTGACAGGTTATTAGCTACAAAGTTTGAAAGTTCACAAACTAAACTTGTAATTTCACCTCGTACAAATCAAGGGTGTCATAGATTCGGGTTTTGTTCACCAAATGAAAAGAAAAGAAAAGAAGAAAAAGGACAAATTGGGCAAAACTGTTTCTTCACTTACACCCACTTGGCCCTCCAAAGAAGATATGGCGCCCCCAATTCCCATCCACAGTGAACTTATTAATGAGCCCAAAACAGATAGGTCTGTCCAGAACAACACTCAGCTCTGAATCATCTGGATCAACAAAACCACTTGAACTTGTATACTTCACCACCTGAATCTGGTTCACAAAAGCACTTTTTTTGAAGCCCTCTTCAGGGAAATGGCCACTTCCCATGGCTGGCCCTGCCTCTGATGTAGGACTGTAAACTTCCCCTCCCCATGCTGCAACTGCTGCCCCATCTGCCAACCCTGGCACCACTGCCTTTGGCCAGTACCCTATGTACTTGTCCCCAAACATCAACATCCAATTCCCCGTGTGCGTATCCTGTAAACCGACGGTTATCGCACTCGTTAGTGTGAGTCGGTGGAGAAGTGTTGAGAATATGTATGAAAGATTTAAAAGTATAGGTCGAGTTATGAGTTTAGTTCTTGAACTTTTAGTATTGTGCTTAATATATCCTGAATTTCCAATGTTGTGTCTAAAACTGTTATTAGTAGGAAAAGTGTTGAGAATAACGCTCATTAGTTAGTGGGAGAGGATTGAGAATGTGTGCAAAAGATTAAAAATACAGGTTGAATTACAAATACTTTGAACGTTTAGAAATATCTCTAATAGATCCTTGAACTTAGTGTCTCGTAGTTCTCCGAATTTTTAATAGGTCTTTTATCTACTACACAAACTTCAAATTCAATTTAATGTCATTCAGTTTATAAATTTAAAAAGTTGTTCAATATGCTAAGAATTTATCGGACACAAACTTGAAAAATTGAGACTTACTAGACACAACATTAAAAATCTAGTACCTGTTGGCTGTTAGATATATTTTAAAGTCTAAGAACTAATTCGACAAAATCCTAAAAGCTTAGACAAAATCTTGAAAGCTTAGGAACCAAGAACCTTAATTATATTATAACTAATAAGTTTTTCAGTTCAGTGATGGTTTAACGAACCTGATGCATGCTGATGTGAATATCGTATTGGGGTCCATTGTAGGTGGAGATTGGGCTTAGAGGGAGGCCGGGCATGATCCCGGAGTTGACTTGTACGAACCCGGGACAGAGTTGGTTGTAGCATCCAGTGCTCTGGTAACCATTTGCCTGTAAGTTTTAGTTGTTTTTTAATTAGAAAGAACCATAAAACTTAGCAGAATAGTGATGAAAAAAAAGTAAAATGTGACTCACTGTCCAGTAGGTAGTTAATCTGGTAACGTTCCCAAACACTTTTGGTTGAACCTGAAAGCAAAGTAAGAGAATGATGAATGGATTTAAAAACATGATCATGATGGTTTGGGCATCATTTTAATTTGGTCTCTATGATTTTATTATTTTTAGTTCAGGCCATATGATCAGGACTTAGTTTCAATCGGTCCCTTTAGTATGATTTAGTCGAACTTCACAAAACGTACTGTTGTTACCCTGTTGAAAAGAAAAGATAGAAGAATTAAAGGGGTTGAGAAACAGTTGCATACTCCCCAACCAACTTGTATGGTATTCTGTTGATCTCTACAGCCTCGAGAAAGCCATATACTGGCAGAACTAAATTGATCCATTGATGGAATTGGGTTCCACACATTGATTTGTGATTTTGCTCCATAAACTCTGGTCTTGTAGTTGAGTGTTGCAAGCTAGAAAAGAAAAAAATTAAAAGGCAGAAAAACACTGTCAGTAAAAATCGAAACTCGATGTCGTCAACAGAGCGGAGATGCTTTATCGGTGACGCTTTCGATTACATGATAGCCATTGGCGTCGATCGTAGTGCTCGGCCGGGAACTATCCGCTGCCTGATGAGACCACAATGGCTTGAAACTTTTAGCTGCTATAAGATCTTCCTTTGTAGTCCTTCTGATTGGCACTGATCCTGGTGGGCAGTTGTTAATGTTTGGAAGATGCCGCAGTAGCATCTCGACTTTCGATGTATCGCTTATCAGCCCTTTTGGGATCATCGTCGGTTTCATCTATATGTTAAGATCAGGAAGTAATGGAGTTCATAACTCATTCAGAACATTTGTTTTAGAAAGTTTAGCAAGTCGAGCCAACCTGGATTGTATGGTTCTTGAGCAGAGGATGATCAAGTGAAGGTTGCTTGTAGATGTCAACACAATCTATGGTATCACCAAATTCATTCTACAAAAAGAAAGAGGAGAAAAAGATGACATATTTTTGTTCAACAAACTTCATATTCACTGACCCAAAAGCATGTTTAAGTTGGAAAGTTGCAACTTTTCTCCATATTCGCAACGTGTTTCTCGAAGATCAACACGATAACTATTATATGAAACGAATAGAAAATAGCTAGAATTCCGATATTTAGGTGAATAATAACATGTAGAGATGGAACAACAAAAGAAGCTCTTCTCCTTAGCATAGGCTACATTCGACCTCTAGATTATGAGGATAATGTCCCTTACACCAGATCATAATTTCCATCTCGATTGGAGACCACAAAAATGATTCTAACCGGTTGGCTAGTTGAGTTCAAGCTCTTGCTTTTTGGTCATCACAAAAGTGGAACAATTGTTCTACGTCTTGCATGAGAAAGGTTCAACTTCCTATTCTGATACGATATTGATTTCAGGTTTGAAAACAAAACCTCCTATTCTTATACGATATTGATTCAATGTCAGACTAAAAGATTTTACGGATCGGTTAAGTTTTTAAACGTACATCTCGACACAAAAATATTGTCCTTCCAATGCTATTTAAGACATCAAGATGAAAATGAGAACCAAAAATCACACTTCCATCACCATTTATATAAAAGAAACAAGTTACCTTAAAACTCTTGATTGCAGGTTTGTTGAGTTGTTTGAGCTGTCTGTTGAGTTCCAACTCTTCTTCTTCAGACAACATTTGTAGTAGTCTGAAACCATCTGCACCAAAAGCAAAAACAGACACAACAAAAAACAGAAACCTCAGTTTTTTCAAATCTTCACCAGACATGATTGCAGCAAATTGCAAAAGCACAAGACAACAGATTTGTTTGAATATAATCCCAAAGTAGGATTATGTCTGCTTTTATAGGTGAAATCATGGGATAATCCTTTATGTTGATAGTCTGAAAAAATAACTAACTTTCCTTTGAGAATTCTCCAAGTTTTGGAAAAACAAAGTTTCCAGACATGTTTTTGGTTCGTTAGGTTCTGATGTTTCAGTTACATTCTTCAATGGTAATTAAGGTTTTCCATACATGTTTGCTTCAGTTTTCTCCATTTTCTTTTTTCTATTCAAATATGGGTAAAATTTAAACATATTCTTTATTTACTTAGTTTCTTGCGTAACAAAAGAATATAAATAATATTTGAATTCGGCAACATATAGAGTGAGGATTCAACTTCATATCATTTGATTGAAAAAAATATCTTGGCTAGTTGGGTTGTGCTCACGTTGGTTAATATCCTTTAGTTTAAGGAATCACACTTTTAATGTGGAGATCGAATCATTGACTTTGAGAAGATGTTCGAATTAAATATATATATATATTTTTTACTAAAAAAATTTGGATTTTTAATTTATTATTGGTGGTAGGAATTTAAAATTTAGAAAAGGTTACATGCTTGTTATAATTCAAGAACCACATGGAAAAAAGAAAGCACTTTATAACAATAAAGGTATAATTACAAGCACTTTTAAATTATAGCCATTATTTGCATCTTACCCTTATAAGGTTTTTGAACTTAATACGTTTACCTTAAAATTTTTTTAACTTCAAATGTATTGAATTTTTTTTAATTTTTAATGAATGCACTTTATAATTATTTAACTGTTAAATAATTATTTGGTATTTAAATCACACAATTTAATAAAATTTAACATAACCTATAAAAGATCTTGCTTTCGTTAATGTCAAAAGAAAATTCTAATTGATTAATACATGTATTCCCAATCAAAAACGTCATAAATTCAAATTTACATCCCACATGTTGTCGTACTAAAAAATAATTCTAGATGCATGTGACTCTTAATTACTTTCCATGAGAGTTATTTTTACTTTATTGGTAGCATTTCACAATTAGATATGCCTTTTTTGAAAAGGCTTTCAAGCCTACAAAATTGCAAACTTTGCCAACAATAGAAATAGCCTTAAATCTTGAGGATGAGATTTATCTTCCAAGTATGAAACATGTCAAAATCGCTTGATTAATACTTGAGTTACCCTAACCTCTAGTAATTCAAGCCACGTACCAGTCTTCCAAATCAAAAGAAAAATGGACTTATGTCGGGAAGAATAATACAATAACTTTCCCATATTTTAGAGCTTACTAGCCTTTACATGCTTCGTCCTCTACATTTGATTTTAGTTCGTTTTGGTTCCTATACTTTCAACTGTTGTCCATTTTAGTCATTATACTTTCAAAATGTCTATTTAGATCCTCTACTTTTAAAGTGTTCTATTTGGTTCTTATTTACAAAATTTTAACACAAATTTTGTACACAATAGAAACCATTTAATACAAATTTATGACTATATTTTAAGAAATTTAGTGAATGAAGTAAGATTATGATAGAAAGAAATTAGACAAAAATAAAAATGAAATGACCAAAATGGTCAAAAAAACTAAAATGAACAAAAGTTGAAAGTACATTAATCAGAATGGACATTTGAAAGTACATGGATCAAAATGAATGTCTTTGACAGTAAAAAGATGAACCAAAGTCGAAAGCACAAAAATCAAAATAATATTACGTTATGATTGTAAGAGTTATTACGTTGTACAAAATGTGAGTTTCATGCACTTGAGTTAATGCAAATAGCATAACTTTAAATGTCTGCATAATCTATATAATTAACTTGTAGTTTGGAATAAAGAATATATTTAACAATATAAACATGACTTCTCAACTAGGGTAGATTGTTATGTTTTCAAGAGAGGCTTCTTGAAACCAAGGGTTGGGAGCTTACCTGCAAATTTCCTAATGGTATATGAATGACCAGAATTAACCAATCAGCATATGAACTCATAATCATTTTCTTCAATCCATTATACACATTGAACATTGAGAATATTAATATTATTTGAAAAAACATATAAAAAATGAGGTAAAAGCAAATTGGATAATGTCCATTGATATAATTGGAACTAAACTATACAAATAAAATGCAATGATAGAATGAAGCCAAAGAATGCTTGATATTCTATTCAAATAGACAGCTGAGTGACTCTACATAGGAACTCTGAACATATCAGATGTATTATAATGCTAAAGGGGAGCTTCACAAACCAAGGTATACAACACTTTCAATGGTTAATTCTCTTAAAATCGATTCTGCTATAATGGTAACAATCTTTTCAGTTTCAGTTCGATAATCGATCCACGTTCTGGATCTCGTCAAGTCTCTTAGAAATAGATGCTCCAGTGTTTGTGGCTGTTGCTGCTGCAGAAGTGGCCAGTCCACATGTTGCATCATTTCATGATACATAGCGCTCTCGTTATCTGGTGCTTGGAAGTGTGCCTTATAAGACGATAACCAAGGGGAGCATCTAATATAACAGTGGAAAACATCCTCAAGGACTTCATTAAAATAGTCGAAAAGAAGCACACAATCACCACATAACTGGCTACCAAACACCTTCGCTTTGTCGACAAATGGAATTCGCAGCCAAGCTGAAGAATGACACTCTACCGATAGTTCGTCCCAATTCTGTTTCGAGGCTTGCAACAGCTCGAGTATGTACTGAGATATGGAGCAGCAACAATTAAAGGAAGCGATGGTAGGACTAAGAGCCTCTTGCAACCTTGCCAAACCAGCACAGTGGTGCTCTTCAAAATCAATGGGAAGTGCTTCACCAGATGACTCGGCTGTGAAGTTTTACTATCTTGCATTAGTCTAAGATTGGAAAAATGGATTTATAAATAAAAGAAAAGCTGCCTTTGTAACTTAATATACCTATTTCTGGGGCGAAACCGGAATTACTAGAGGTGGCATCTACCAAAAGTTGGTCATGAATAGTTTCTGGTACTGGCTGCACTTCTCTATCATGCAAACCATTAGGATCTTCCACTGCCTGAAATCTTGATGAGCAGGATGGAAATGTATCTACCGAAAAAGCTGATGGTTGAAACTCCAAAGGCGAATTCTGCACGTTGCCAGTTATATAGTGAAAAAGACTCTTATATTAGTCTTCTTTGATATGGAAAAAAACTGTTACATAAAAAGAACAAAATGCAATCGAAGCATCTGTATGGCTATTCAATTCGTGGGGGGGTGGTGGTGGTCCTTAGGAATAAAGTCCTTCAAATAAGCTTGAAAAAGAGATGACCAAATAAGCATATTTGGATACACATGAGAAAGGGATTCATGAATTTTGTAGTTTTAAGGCGTCAAATGGGAGGAGGGTGCGTTTCTGGGAAGATGCTTAGGCTGATTCTTCCCCTCTCTCCCCTATCTTTCCAGATTTTTATGGGCTATCTTACAAAAAGGGGTGTATGCTTGCTTATTGTTGGGTGGAAGCGTCCCATACTTTGGATTTAGGGCTGAGAATAAACCTCTTTGACAGGGAGATTTCTAGGTGGGTTTTACTAACAGAGAAGCTGGAAGCTGGAGTTTTTGCAAATTGGCCAGAGGAAAGACAAAGTCGGCCTTTTCCCTTCTAATCAGTCCCTTGCCACAATAGAAGGCCCATGTTGTGAAATATATCTGGAACTTTAAAGTTCCCAAGAAAGTCAAGTTTTCCTTTTTGGTCCTTGTTCTATAGAAGTGTGAATACAAAAGGTTTCCTTATTCAGTTCTATCTCGCTCTATTTGTGACCTCTGTAATAGCATGGAAGAAACAGTGGTTCTCTTCTTGCATTGTTCTTCAACGAACAGGGGATGGTCTTTTCTGTGTTCTGAGATAGATTTAACCCTTTGTCTCCCTCGTAAGATAGACAATCTTTTTCTGGAGAATTTGGTGGAGGGCTCCTTAGAGGCAAAGTTTATGTGCTTAGAATTGTGCAGTTAGGGCTTTGCTTTGACTTCTTTGGAGGGAAAGAAATAGTAGGCTTTTCGAAGATAAAATGTTGTTAGAAGATTTTTTCTGATATTGCTTCTTGGCGGACTATGAACTATAAGAAATTCTTTTGTAATGATAGCCTACATAATTGTCAATGATTGAAGTGCTGCTATTGTTTAGAGCTTGGGGGAGGGTGATCTCTACCTTCTGCCCTTAGGTTGTTCCCTTCTTTTGTTGTTGGTTCTTTGATATATTGTATTTTATCCAAAAAATAAATAAATATATATATATATATACACACGAGAATCTTGAGACAGAAGGCTTAACAAAGTTATATTATGATAGACAGTGGAATATGTTTATGCAAAAGTCATGCATTTTAAGAAAATGCGATAGTTGAAAAATTTAGGAGTTTGAAAAAATACACTATTGCCATGGTAAAATGAAATATCAAGCGGCAACGCAAAGATGGGTATCAAATACCAATGGATGAGGATATTCTAGGATGCTAGACATCAGAATATGGATTATTCAATCTTGAACAGACAAATAAATGTTGCATGTCTATGATAACCAAGAACAAATTTGTATAATAGCCCCCTAATAGTTCTTCCATAGTAAAGAGTGCAGCTCACCAGTTTCGAGAGCTCCAGATTTCCTTCTTCTCCAAAGCCATTGGTCTTGTTGGTTCTCTGACAAAAACTAGTCTTGCAGGAGTCATCAAATCCAGATGATGATGCTTCACAAAAATTATTTCCTTCCTGGTGTATAGTGGCAATGTCTTTTATGATCTTCACAGACCCTGCATATGCTTCATTTTAGTCTAAGTACGGAAGAACCGTGAGCCAAATAAGATATAGCAACAGCATATTAACACCTTCAATATTAAGATCTTCATCCACTTTGACATCAGGAAAAATGACGCATGACATATTCAACTCTGTATTTGACCCGTGTAATTGGTCATCATCTCTCCTTGTCTCTGAAGAAGAAGCTTCTACTTTAGCCATTTGTGGCATTTCGCAACTTTTTTTCCCTTCATTCTGATGCTTTGACTTCTTCTCATAAACAAATTTCTTATTACTAAGTTGGGAATATCTCATATGACCTGCAGCATGGCTTCCCGGTTTATTTGATGGCATTATGTCATCGTCAGAAAAGCACATCACCCACCCCCATGGTTTTACTTTCATTTTTCTTGAAACTTCTTTGTCTCCTTCATGCTTCTTAGATTTCTGTCGTTTGAGATGACTCATAACAGCTGACTGGCCTACGTTTTTGCCAGTACTTTCACTTGTCGAAGCCGTCTTGTCCCCATTTCTAGAGTAAAATGCCTTGTCTATTTGATCTCTTTTCAGGGAATCTTGAATAGAACTAGAAATTCCTTTACCACTGGTTTGAATATTGTTATTGGAACTTTTTCCAGTTGCCTCCATACCAACATGTGGAGTTTTCTTGGACATCTCATGAATTGATAGACATTCACCTTCTTTTTTTCCGACCCCCATTGCTTGCCTCATCTTCCTCTTTATTTGTCTGAAAGAAAAAGTTGATCTCTTGTCACTCTGCATATTATTTATGAAACTAGAATGAGATTGCAGAGAAGAGCAATAATTGGTTCCCGCTGTAGAACTTTGAGAGCTAGTTGGATTTGGCTTTAAGACTACTATTCTCTCCAAGGATTGAGAATCATCACTTTCCTCAGAGGGCAATCTATCACAGGGCTTCAAGTTTTGACCATAGGCAGGCTCCTCATATTCCCCCACTTCTCTCTTCTTATTTTCTGACAATCTGCCATCAAGGAAGGTCCTCATCTGCTGTTTTCCGTCCAGCGAATCAGTAGAGTCTTCAATGTGTTGAATTAACAGAGAATTCGGGTCTTGTAGTAGATTTATAAACAGTTCCTTGTTTGAATTAAAAATTCCCAATGCATCAAGTAATTGTTTACACTGCTGGTCAGCCACACTAACAAATTTTTTACTAGAAAATGGCTCAGTCGCTTCATTCTTCTGGACCAATTTAAGGCTAATCTCATTATGTTGGCCATACTCATTACAACTTTTACAAGTACAAAATCTCCGACTTCTGCAACAAGCTACTCTTGTTGATGCTGTTGGATCTAGCTGCTTATTTGATGATGTAGCCGCCAATTTTTTCGGAGAAGGCGATTTAAGTTCTTTGGTAGGTCTATCAACAGCTTTCCACAGCAATTTGTGGCTCCTTGAGACTTTGCCAACCATGGTAGAATTAGAATGCATATGCTTCACTCCCATTGTAGAAGTCCTATTTATGTGTTGTTTTATAGATAGCCCTCGTTTGTATGATCAACTGTTGGATGTTTCATAATTTATTACCCTGGATAAAATTTTCAAGAAAGCTCAGTAAATAATCCGACCACTGGTTCACTGTTAAAGTCATGAAGATAATGATAAAGCCAAAAAAAAAGGTATCCTGATAAAGTAAAAGCTTGGACCAAAACTTGAAAAAAATTAATAATAAATAAACAAAAAAAAACTTTTGATCATCACAATTCCCAAATAATCTACATCAATAATGTGATAGCAATTCCATTGGTCAATATAATGATCAAAAGCACATGTATTAAGAGCACTTGATGTCTCCAAGTATTTTACTACCTGCAGTCGAGCTGTTTATTAATGTTAAAAATGTATTGAAGATTATGGATCATACATCATTTTATAAAAATTTTAATCTTACAAATCTTCAGCAATAACACTTAGAGATGAATGCAGTTTAATCCATGTTTTAAAATGCTAAAGACAGCTAATAGGTGAGGCGTAAGCCTAAATCTTAAATTTGTGTGATCAAGTATTGCTAAACATAATAGTTATATAAGAGTATAAAAAAATCACCCCTATCAATTGTCACTCAAATAAAAATTTTAAAATGATATGTTTTACATTAATACTATTATCACTATTCACTAATAGAAGTGACTTATTCTTTAAATTTTTGTCTTCAATATTTCTAAAGCATATGCTGTAAAAATAATAATAGATTGAAGTGTCACGACTAATGTATTAACATTTCATACACAAAAAAACCTTTATATTTTTTAAGAATTGGGCACATTAATATAACTCTTTCTAATCATTTGTGAGGCATGAAGACTAAGCTTCCGTGCATTTTCATGGAGGCATAAGACTCTTAATAGTCTAAAAAGACGTAAGTCTCCATGCCACCTGCGTCTCAAAAGTCTTTTAAAACATTGAGTATAATTAGCGAGAATAACGATAAAAAAGATGAATAATTGGTAACTTCTAACAGCCTACGGCCTTAGATATATGTAAAGGAATCAAACTTAGCTCTTGAATAGATAGAAATAACTCTAATTTCAGATATTCCATATTTTTGTTACACCTAAAACTAAAACTATTACATAAGAGATAATTGAAATGGGGTTCAATTATGTTTCATGATAGAACCAGTAGTTTCATATATACAAAACAAAGAAACACAACTACAGTACACTAGTGAGCAGCCCAAAATACATTTATGGATGAATATTTCACTCAAATCCATCAGTCACAAGAAAAACATACAATGACACCCAATAATCTCAGCAAAAAGTTCGATTCAGTAGCAAGAGAGACATTTGTCACCAGACACCATTGAATTCCGAGGATTCTTACCAGCTGAAATAATTCGAGGGCATGTGGTCCAAGAACAGCTTCCTCCGGTCTATGCCAATCAGTTCTCTCCCGCAGTACTAGTCTTGTTGATGACCCTATTGGCATGGTGAATGATTAACTATGGCTCTTAATGATAAAAAGAGAACCCAAAAGAGAACCACTTTTAGAAAAGAGCACAAAACAGATTGTCCTCCCAAATATCAGAAGAGAACAAAAAAGAATCTTTCTCTTGGTCTACACTATTTCCGCATAAAAAAACACTCCATCAGTAAGTAAAACAAAATGCAAAGTAGAGTTAATGATATATCAGAACAAAGATTGCCGCAGTTAAAATCGCCTTACACACATATGGACAAACCGTTCTAAGTACATAGCACTAGCAGAGAGGGGAACGGAAGAAGAAGAAGTAAACAAAACGTATTTTTATCTCTCTCTTTCTTACAAAATTCAGATATTGCCTTCCCTATACGTATTACTGCAAATAACATAAGGTAGAGAAAGCTAACAAGCAATATTTTGGGGGAAAGAGTGGCACTGTTTCAATAAATTCCAAAAAAGCAACCACAGAGGAAGCTACTTCAAGAGATTACATATCATTTCCCCTACAGAAAACAAAAGGGGTAGGCCATCTTAATGGCGAAATGACACTACAACACAAGTCACCACTGTGCAGTAAGTCAAGATAAGACCAGGGACCGTTTCTGTTTGTTTCTAGGGAAAGTTTTTCCCAGGAAAAAAGAAGTGGGGTCTGGGTTTAGGGGCTAAAAAAATGAAAGATTAGAAACTTTATTCAAGCAGTGCTAGTGAGCAAACCAAGTAGCAAGATATGAATACTAATAATACAGAAAGAAACAGAGAAATGGGGCACCTGGGTCTGCTTGAAACCACGATTAGGAAAAGAAAGGAGATGGAGCCGGACCCATTACTCGTACAGAAACAGTGGAAACAGCTATGAAAAAAGAGGAGAATAACAGGGAAAGACGAAGAAGACGAAGAGGAAAATGGTGGGAACTGGAAGTAGAGAGAGAAGGGGAAACAAAAGCCATGGAAAATGGGACAAATGTAGAAAAACAGAAGAAAAGGTTGAAATGGGTGTTGGTTTTTGGATGATTAATGGCGAAATGGACTGCCAATTTGCAGAAAGAGCTTTAGCTTTACAGTCAAGCAATGTGTATGGTTACTTTCCCACTCGCTTCACACTCCCACTCCCCCAAATCCATGGTTACCCTTCGCAGTTTTGGGCTTGGATTGTCCCGCGTACGACGTCGTACCGGGGCGTAGAGGGTATCGGTATTTGTGTAAACGTTGTCGTATAGTTGCTTGCAGATACAAGACCTGCCATTAATGAGCAAGTGAGACAAAGACGAGTGGCGAAGCTTGTAGGCGCCCCTGCTCAGTTTTTATTATTACTTGTTTGAAATTTGAAATTGGATTGAAATTGACATTTTCTTGTTTTCTTTTTCTTTTTCTTTTTCCTATTTTTTAAATTTCTACCAACTCATAATTAATTATGTCAAATTTTGTAAAAAATTTGATTAGTAACCAGAAAGAACCTGGGAAATTATCCCTGCTGGATTGTTAATATTGCTGAGCTAAATTCTTGTCTTGTTTCACACATTTAATCATCTCGATACAAGTAGGTCATTGTCTAAGAACCATTGTTAGTATGTTTAATAATATAGTCGAGTGAGATTAGGGAGCTACTCGACTTAATTAAGTATCAATGAAGAAATGTGTAGCTTGAATTAGTTGTAGTTTGACTAAGGAGAGTTTAAAAATGTACCTAACCCATATGAGATGAAATGAAGGAAGCATTATTTAATATACATAGTCCGGATGGGCCCAAATGGCATTCAACCTTGTGACCAAAAACAAGGCATGAAATGTGCAACAAAAACAGTATCCCTTTTTTCAAGGTTGGTCTCACGGTACAAATTACTTTCTCTCTATAATAATATTAGTGGGTTCAAAATCTCATGTCAGAAATATTTTATTCATCTCTCTGTAATATAATATGCAGTAATTCCAAAACAGAATTTTAAAAAATGGAAAATTGAGGTTCTGTTTTTCTCATTTTCAAATTTTTTTTAAGTAATTTAAGAATTTTGCAACTAAATATATTTCTCGTTTTTCTTTTTTGGAACAAATTTTGGAAACAACCAAAACACTTTCTTGTTTTCATTTTCAACTTATTTCAAAATATAAATCAAAATGTTGTTTTATCATACTTGAATTCATGAATATTGAAGTCATGAAATTTATTTTTCCTTATTAAAAATAAAGAAACAGAAACACGAACATTATCGAACGAGTCCTGAACTGCGCCACCTTGCACGCCACATATAGCTGCAACGACGTTGTACTTTAAGTTATCTATAATATTGCTAAATTTTCATGCTATACATATATATACTCCCCTCCACATAACTAGTGTGACATTATATAATTTCAGACTGCATTGGTATTTAATTGATCATCCAACTAAAATGATGTAGAATGAACTCCATTACCAAAAGAAACTTAACTATACAACTACTCATAAACTCGATTAATAAGATATTATATGTTACAGAGATTAAAATAACAACTAATTATATTGCTATATAAATTTGTTATTTATTATATCCTTTGAAAATCTCTAAAATGGGCCAGTTTGCAAGTTTTTGTTTTATTGATGATTTGACAATGACATTACGTTCTTAGAAATGCAAATTTATGTATTTGGTGATTTTAGACCAAATAATTGTGGAAACTATTTGTGCACAAGTACTGAAATTTTGAACCAAATTTGAGAGTAGAAGTAAAACAAAAGACCAGTGGATATTGTAGGTATGAATGATGTAATTTTTTTCAAACACAAGCATTGAGAAAGGGGGTGCATGTGAATGGACATATTTGTCTTCGCTCACAATTATCCAGTCTCACTAGTACATATCATCCGATGGTCTCGATCGTACGCGTATGCAAATATATTCAACTTCATCTTACAATTTCTTTACTAGACTCCATGTTCGACACATATATATGAAAAGTGTGTCTTAAAGCAACGATGTGAAGAAAAAAACAAACACAATTACTACAATAAAGTAATTTATTACAAATGTCAACACGATTCATCCAGAGTTGGAGCGAATAAGGAAGGAAGAGTGAAGCTAGCCGTAATTCAAAAAGTATATAAAAAACAGTTGATATTGTGCAGTTTTTCTCTAATTCTCTCCTCCCATACTCCTGCAAGATAAACTTTTTTTCTGTGGGAAACAAATACAAAGTTTCAAAGACCGAAAATTGAGCCGAGAGCAAAGATGGAATCAGAAACGAACAATCTCCATCGTCGTCCTCATTTTCGAGGAAACAAAAAAACATCACCATCCCCATTTGCATCCTCAGTAGACAATGCACATGGCTCAAACAAAAAAAAAAATGTTGTGCTTGGGTGAAGGCTATCCTTGTTGAGAAGTTGGCGTATGGAGATGGGAAGGGAAGGGAAAGGGATGTGAAATGTTAGGTTGTTAGTTGGAATAGTGGGAGATCTTTAATTGCCAAATAAATGCCCCTCTACTCATTTTAGTCCAAGATTCCATTCCCTTGATCTTCAATGGGTGTCTTTTTGGTGGCGTTACTACAACTATAATGGCCCTTTGCCATGTTAGCTTTGGAATGTCATTTTTCAAATGAGAAAAGAAAAAAACTCGGAGTAGTATATAACATCAACATTAGACTGTATCAGACTGTTTTTTAGTACAACAAATGTAAGTGCATCTCAATTATTGAACTATGTTAGGTTGACTAGAGTTTATGGATTTACTAGACAAAAAATCTTAAAAGTTCAAGAACTAAAGGGTGTGTATTAACTATTTTATATATACTTTTTGAATTACGACTAACTTCACCCCTATTGTCTTCAAAATCGATCTGATCTAGTACCGAATCAAAGGCAAGCGGTCAATTTTGAGAGTAGGTCAATCGGCTATATATATACGTGTTATTATGTTTGCCAGGTGGTAGAGTGATTGAGTATCAGGGCTTCTTTTCTTTAATTTTAAGTACTATACCCTCCATCCTCCCATCGCGTCCCCTTTGTTTTCTGCAGGTCCAGCCTCCCATCAGGCCATCCCCTACGTTTTTTCTGCCATGCCGCCCCCTCTTCTTGTAGGTCTGGCCATGTCTAGGTTTCAAGTTTTTGAGCTTTCAATCGGTTTCGAGCTTTCCCTCTCACTCTCTCTGTCTTAGCGAGCTCGCCCTCTCATATTATAGACTCGACTTCGACACCAACAGATAACATGTGATTTTGAGCTTTCCCGTCCCTTTTACTTACTCTATCACCAAAAAGAATCAGCATAAACTAAATATACAAGGGAAAAAAAAAAGTCGGTTTCGACGTTAAACCAACATCGACTAATCGATGAACACCTGTAATTGTTTTGAGTTTACCATTTCAATATGATTTTAAAAAAATAAAACCTTGTTAAAATTTTGAATATTGTTCCATTACAAGTACTTGGTTATTGAACTTTATTCCAAATATTGAAATTCGGAAGGGTGATGAATGAAAAATTTAGGTTGAGCAGCAAATTAGTGTAGAATTTTCAATATTGTGTTTAATAAGTCTCAACTTTAAAAATTGTCTAATTAATTATTAAACTTTCAAATTTATATCTAATAGGTTCCTGGATTTGTAAAGTGTCTGATAGATTTTTTAAGTTTTAATTTTGTACCTAAAGGTCCCTACCCTATTAGATATTGGTTAACATTCACAAGCATATTAGATATAAGATTGAAATTCGAAGTTATATTAGAGAAAAAAAAATCAATTTTTGGTTTAATAAATCGTTGAATTAAAAAAAATGATGAATACATCTGGAACCTATTAGATACAATGTTGAAAGTTAAATGGCCTAATAGACATTTTTAAAATTTAGAGACGAATTGAATATAATCCTCAAGGTTTATATATACACACACACACAAATTAGCAATAATTTTATGTCATTAGTTCTTTTTCTCCTCTTGAAAGATAAATATAAAAATATTAAGGTTAAATTACAAGTTTAGTCCGTGACCTTTGTGTCTGATAGGTTACTAAACTTTAAATCTTGTTTAATAAATCTCTAGATCCTAATATATTCGATATTTTAAAAACTAATGGATGTATTAAATATAAAATTAAAATTTTTGTTCAATAAGGCCTTAAACTTTTAATTTCATGTCTAATAAGATCGTAGGTTAAAAAAAATGACAATTAGGTAAGTGATCTATCAAATACAAAATTAAAAGTTCAATGATATATTATACAAAAATTGAAAGTTTAGGAACTTATTACACATATTTTAAAATTTAATAATTTAATAGACACAAAATTGAAGATTTATGGATCTATTAGATACAAATTTAATTTAAAGTGCATGGGCTTATTAGCGGAAAAAAAACTCTTTTCTGAAAAGCCCAAGTTTACACCGAAGGACCCAAATTTTACTTTGTGAAGAATGGACAGGGCCCAATAGCATCACCCGGCCCACTTTGATATCCATTGAAACGCCATCGTTTTGAGTATTCAAATCGTTATCCGCTTGAATTCTCGTTCTTCGGCACTGCGACTTAGCAACTCCATTTCCATGTCCATGGCATTTACTTTCACTTTCCCTCCATTTCCCCTCACTCTCTCCCCTCGCCCCAATTTCCTGCTTCTCAGACCTCAATTTCGCCACCAGTATCTTCCCACCGTTCGAATTCTCCGTCCTTCACTTCCTTCCGCCATCGGACCGGACGGCAAGTTCTACCCCGACCCCGCCGACGACGACCCACCGGAAGCTCCAGAAGATGCTGGCCATGGAGTCTCGAAGTTTCAGCAGATATACCGCCAAGCAGCTCGTGCGCGGAAGCTTCAGGAGGAGGATTTCAAGAAGCATCAGTCTACTTATCTGTCGGCCATTGCTGACGTCGAGGACGCTCCGGAGAATGCGGATTATTTGAATTCGGAGAGCACTGGAGATGATTTGTTCGGTGAGATTGACAAAGCTATTGCTATGAAGCGCAAGGAGTTCGTGAAGCAGGGGCTTCTCAAGCCCAACCCGAAGAAAGAAAAGGCGGTTGAGAAAGATGATCTTGAGGGCGTCGATGAGTTGGAGACCGAGGAAGTCGCGGACTTGGAGGAGATTAACGAGCTTCGGGGGCTTACTGTGCTTTCGGAGGACGAGGTGGACGATGAGGAGGGAGATGGTTCTGGGAATTTGGACGACGATATAGGTGAATTAGGTGGTGAGGATCAACTGTCTTCTTTTAATTCTTTTGATGTAGATTTTGATAGCTACGGAAAAGTTAAGGCTAGAATTGTGGAGCCCAAGTTCAAAATGACTTTAGCCGAGCTTTTGGATGAAAGTAAGGTTGTTCCTGTTTCTGTTTTTGGTAATTTAGAGATAGAAATAACTGGTATTCAACATGACTCGAGGATGGTTAGCTCGGGTGACTTGTTTGTGTGCTGTGTTGGGAGAGAAACTGATGGACACTTGTTTTTAACCGAGGCTGATAAGAGAGGTGCAGTTGCTGTGGTGGCTAGCAAGGAGATAGACATTGAAGAAACTTTGGGCTGTAAAGCTTTGGTAATGGTGGAGGATACTAATTCCGTTCTTCCTGCACTGGCTGCTTCCTTTTACAAGAACCCATCGAAGAATATGGCCGTGATAGGAATAACTGGGACAGATGGTAAAACAAGCACGTCCTACTTGATAAAGGGAATGTATGAGGCAATGGGGTTGAGAACTGGGCTGTTAGGTTCAGTGGCCTATTATTTACATGGGGACAATAAGTTGGAGTCACCAAATATGACCCCAGATGCTATTTTGGTCCAAAATCTAATGGCAAAGATGCTTCATAATGGAACTGAAGCAGTTGTCATGGAGGTTTCGACTGATGAACTTGCTTGTGGAAGGTGTGATGAAGTTGATTTTGATATAGCGGTTTTCACAAATTTGACTAGGGACCATTTGGATTTTCATGGGTCTGAAGAGGAGTATAGGGACGCCAAAGCCAAGCTATTTAAAAGGATGGTGGACCCAGATCGACACCGGAAAGTTGTTAACATTGATGACCCCCATGCACCCTTCTTCATAGCTCAAGGAAACCCAGATGTGCCGGTTGTGACATTTGCAATGGAAAACAAAAATGCAGATGTCCATCCTCTGAAATATGAATTGTCACTATTTGAGACGCAGGTTTTGGTTCACACTCCCCAGGGCATATTGGAGATATCATCAGGGTTGCTTGGAAAGCATAATATATACAACATTCTTGCAGCTGTGGCAGTAGGGATTGCGGTTGGAGCACCATTGGAGGATATTGTTAGAGGTGTTGAGGAGGTTGATGCAGTTCCCGGGAGATTTGAGCTGATTGACGAGGAGCAGGCATTTGGTGTAATTGTCGATCATGCTCATACCCCAGATGCCCTGTCCCGATTGCTTGATTCTGTAAGGGACCTTGGGCCTAGGAGGATTATCACTGGTACAGTTCCTAGCTCCTATTTTGGCTTCACATACCTTGTGAGGAAATGTATCTGCTAATAATGCTAGCTTTCTCAACTTACAATTTACAAGAACCCACACCTTTTGTTTTCATTGCAAACAACTGTGTATTTTTGAACAATTTTCTGTTCTTTTTCATTAATTCAATGAAAAGTTCGTTTCTCATTAAAAAAAAAAAAAAAACACAATCGTCCTACATATAGTACCGAAATTTATTTGTTAAATTAATTTTCATTTTTGTTGCATCTGTTAAGCAGCTTGGTCTTATTCAGCTTTTATATATATATTATACATAAATCTGAAACGACTGAAATTAACATTTCCCATTGTTCTAGCTCTGAACTGTAATAGCCTCGAGTAACATTTGTGGAATATGTTTCTTATTTAACCAAAATTTGTTTATTTTATTTGTTTAGTTTTTGGATGCTGTGGTGAGCATGAAAGGGGGAAAAGACCCGTGATGGCAAAGATTGCTACCGATAAAAGTGATGTTACTATTCTGACTTCTGATAATCCAGGGAATGAAGATCCATGTATGTTAACTTTCTAGACAGATTATAGGATTTAACATGAATCACTTTTACATGCTTTGCTTGGAGAGATGCATGCTTATTGTATGTAGAACATCACTGCTCATGACTTCTTTCTGATATATCTGCATCTATATAAATGCTTGATGGTCCAATGCTGACATAAAAATATCATATTTATCAGTGGACATCTTGGATGATATGTTGGCTGGTATAGGCTGGACTATGCAGGAGTACTTGAAACATGGAGAAAACGATTACTATCCCCCTCTTTCGAATGGTCATAGGATTTTCCTGCATGATATTAGACGTGTGGCTGTACGTGCTGCTGTTGCAATGGGCGAGGAAGGTGATGTGGTTGTAAGTTGCTGCATCCCTCTTCCCTTTTGAGGTCTTATTTCCAAACCACATGAACTTTAGAGGATGACTTAAGAACATTCGGATAGGTGTTTTTGATAGAGTCAAAGATAGTTGCAGAATTCATACAGAATTTCAGAAAATTTTCTAATTGAACGCCAAAAACTTGAGTGTAGCGAGCCTGTTATGACTCTTTAATTTTTTTTTCTTTATTTTTTTGAAAGTGATGTATTGTTAACTCAAAAGATGAGGCAAAGAGGGAGGAAAAGGTAACCTCCCAACAAGCTAATAGGGTTGCAAAAACCTCTTGAATTCACTTGTATCTTAAAAAAAGAACAATTACAAAACTACTTCAAAAATTTACCGCACCTAGACACCCAAAAAAAATGGCTTTAGTGAAAGTCTCTTGTGCAGTAGTGGAAGATTCTTCGATGACACTTCAAATTAAGGATAAAATAAGGTATACGTAACTTAAGAATTACATGATTCTTTGCTGAAAGATTCTTCCCTTTATATTTAAAGGGGAGGGTGTACACGATGGCGTTTTACTTCAGGAAGAAAAAAAGGACCTAGAACTGTAATAATGGATAAAAGAAAATATGTGACTTGGTTGTGGGATGAAGATGAACATAACGGTTATCTTTCTAATTGCCCTCTAAACTGTGGGATTGACAAAAGAATGTAAACTAAAGAATTCAGTCTCCTTTTGTAATTTTTTAAATTTATGAGCATTATGCAATGTCATTTTTATATTTACTGTTTGTTGTAGGTGGTTGCTGGCAAGGGCCATGAAACATATCAAATTGAAGGTGATAAAAAAGATTTTTTTGATGACAGAGAAGAATGCAGAGAAGCATTACAATACGTTGATGAACTTCACCAAGCTGGAATAGACACAAGTGAATTTCCATGGCGGTAAGTTCAAATCACGTATGCATTGTGGAAAATTCCATCGCTGACCGATTGCTTCAGACTTAAATTAGCAGTAGTGATTAGCTATGTTTCATCGAATAATGAGTTATTTGTTTCCTGGGCTCATAAACTGCTTGCTACTAGTACTAACAAGCAACCCTCCATAATCTGTTTTATGTTTTTCGTCTCCCCAATACTAGGGAACATACACTTGACTGAAAAAGAATAGAAGTGTTTCTCAATCGTGGTCTGCCACAACCATTCAGGAACTCTAAAATGCAGACATTTAAGTCAGATACTTGTCATGTTGTTTCTAATTGTGTTCTTTTGCTTGTTCTCTATCCCGATACAGGTTGCCAGAGAGTCATTGATATAAGGTTGAAGAAAGGAATGGGAATTGCGGAAGCTAGCCACGGATCGAAAAATACTACTGGTGCAGTATTGAATTGCTATTACAAGTAGTATATTCCAGTGATTTATCTTCAAGAGGGGCATTTTGAGGACTGTTGGATTTGGTTGGTCAGATTGGGTGAATACTGTACTCCATGTCCTTGCAGTTGCGCCAGTCACTTCGATTGGATAAGCAGCAAGGTATGAACAATTCTGTCCAATCAAATTTATTTATTTATTTGTTTTAGATAAGAAACAATTTCATGATATGAAGTTACAACACAGAAATTCTATCCAATGAAACTTTTCCCATTAGATAATGGGGTCGAAATGATGTAAAGGAACAATTTAAGAAACAATTTCATGATAGGAGAGCATTTACCTTACGATACAACCAAGTATACTGTAGCTCCAAAAAATTGATGTAAAGGAAGTTCTTTATCTTGAAAATTTTGTTGATTTTCTTCTCCATGTGACCTGACCCATAAGAACGCTCTTATAAAGTTCATCCACAGTAGCTCCTTTCTTTTTTGAAAAGAACAACGTCCAGGAGGAAGGTTGGGACAATCCATATCTGGAGTTGACTGCTACATTGGTTTTACTGTTTGTGATTCTAGTATAGGAAAATTTTTGTAAGTTTTAGTAAAAGGAAGAAAAACAAGTAGAATTTATTTTTTTTGTTCGAGTACAAAGTAGAAGATTTGATAAATGATAAATAACCAAATAACATCTTGAAATTAGACACGAAATATTTTAGTCCTACGCTCTCAAATCTGTAAGGTAATTATCCAGCTGCAGAAAATAGCTTGAACAAAAATGACGTGGCAGATGTGATATGGACTGATGATGATTTATTCTGCCAAAACTAACTGCATGGTTGTGATTTGATTGCTAATTATTTTATAACTGTAGTGTCGGGCCATTCTTTGCATTATGCTCATGCCCATTTGGGTATTTCTTGCGGGTAATTTTGGATAGTAAAAATCCTCAATTTCTAAAATCGGTATGTTATTGTCAAACATACCTACATGTTCTAATGTTTGATCATTAAATACAAGTAATTTTAAAGAAAGACATGAGTGATTTTAGTTTACCTATCTAAATTACTCCCGCACATGTCGTAGAGGTTTCGCCCACCACAAAAAGTTTTCAACCCGGAGCTTGAATCTAGGATTTTAGGGGATAATTGGAACATCTCAGATTTTTACTGACTCATAATTTAAGAAGTGTAGGTCTGTATTTCCTTCATATTTGCTTAATCTTGTGCTTAACTAGATCATTTCATAGATGACACTTAATAACTTCAGCAATTGTTCCATTTTCAGAATTCAGATGGGTGCCCAAGTGGGAGATGGAAATGAAGAATCCGAATCACTGCTTGCAAGTCCAGTCCAGTCCATTATTGTCTGTGTTATACTTGTTTCTGTTGTTTAGGCAATGGCATGCTTTTGAAAATTGAATGTGTGATCGTGGGTAGTTTTGTAAATTTAGGAGGATGGATGCTTGCACTTGCACTTGCACCGACGTTTGCCATAAAACACATGGCTGGTCTGACGGCAGAGAACAACCCTGTCCTTCATGTCGAGCAATTTTGGGCAAGCTTTGCTTATTTTTCTTCTGGGGTCAATTTCTTAAATATCCTCCTAGTTTCCACTATTTGCCCAATTGGCCCCTCTTATTTTCTTAATTACACTACACTGCTTTATTATTGCAGGCTGGCCCTTCAATTTGTGTCTTCTTTTTCAAAAAAGAAAAAAAGAAAGAAAGAAATAAATAAAACTATATAGAGACGACTGTATCGAAAATTGAGGATGCTAATTGCAAGTAATCCACCCAACATTCTTCCTTAAGAAAATACTTTTGAAACTATTCATTTTTATTTTTGAAAAGTTGTACTATTTATATGAAGTATTTTATAGTTTAGCATATAGTTCAAACAAAATAAAATCTCAGAAAGCTATCACTATTATTGTTATTTTTAACCAAAAAATATGTAAGGTTTTGCCATAATGATGATGTTTCTAAATTTTTTTTAGATTTATTTATTAGAAATGGCTTCATATTTATACATATATAGTCTATTTATGTCGCATTTAGTTTTTCTTTTTTTTTTAACTTTTGTTGTAGTAAATTTTTTTTTTTTTAGAATTGGGAGTTGGAGCTTTGTTTCCCTATACACAGGGGCACTTACTAAACCATTATATATGAAAATTAAAGATCAAATATGGTTTTAAGAAAAAATTAAAGTATAAATTCTTTAATATTTTTGGTATTTAATCGTTATCCATCAATTTGTTCTTGCTTCATCGGTCAAAAATATATATATAATTTCTTGCTTCATCGGTCAAAAATATATATATAATTTCTTGCTTCATCCTCTCGCATAAAGAATTCCAATTTTAAATTTCTTTTATTATATATTATATTTTTCGAGTTGAGAATTGAACACCAGCCTCAATGATAATAAAAAAAAATGAGTTATGCAATGATTGATATTAGAGTAAAAAGGAAAAGTGTAAATGACAAAAAGAGTATTCCCATAATAAAAATGTTGAAACAATTGAGAAGTATAAGGAAGAACACTGATGGGCAGTGAAGTGCAATTATTAGGAAGTAGAGGCCCTCCTCTGCAAGATTGGGAATCCGATTAAGGATGATGATTATCGAGTAATTATGTCGTTAAAAAGGTTCCCGCGATTTCCAACGGTGGTTCGTACGGAAATCCCGTTTACTGAAAAGACCAACACCCAGTAATAGTCCCTAAACCCAAGCACACTGCACAAGCAAAGATTCATACACGCACATCAGCTTTGTCCTCATTTTCCCACAAAAAAAAAATGTCCGTTTCCCCAATATTTCCCTTTTCTTTAATCGGCCGGATCCATGGTATTCTTTTTTTAATGATATAAAACGTCTGCCCCCAAATTATTGATTGATAATAGTTGTTTTGGGATTCTACGTTTTCCCCCATTTTATATTATCTGATTCTGAGCTTTTAAGTTCGCTGTTTTTGGCGTAATCGCAGCACAGGGAACTGGGAAGCCACTGTTTCTTTCTTTTTCCTACTTTTTTTGGTTTTTCGAGATTTTGGGATGCTGAGGAAGAAGACCCATCACTGTTTTTGAAGCTTCTTTTTTTTTATTTTTTTTATTTTGCTGAGAAGATCAGAATCTATGGATTTTCAGAGGCATTTTCTTGGTGGGTTGGCCATTTTCGCTCTGCTCTTACTGCTGATTTGTTATCCCTGCCACGTGACGGCTGGGGATATTGTTCATCATGACGATTTAACTCCCAAAAAGCCTGGCTGTGAGAATGACTTCATTC